AGCAGCAGCAGCAGCCCAGACTGACAGCAAGTGAAATTAGACACTGTCATCAGACAACATGCGGTAATTTATAAATGTTTTAAATCAGGTTGGGTCCTGATTAGCCAACAGGTGGGTCTGGATCCGGACCTCAGTCCGCTATTCCATGACCTCTGATGTAGGATTTTGAGAAGGCCTCAGTGGATAGTTCTTTGGGACGCCACCAAGCCAGCTGGGATGCATTTCAGATGCATCCATTTATAACCATTAAGCATCCTGTGCTGGTTTAATTGCTCCTGCAGGAACAGTGTGACTGCCAGTAAGTCAGAGTAGAGTGGGCTTTTTCACCTAAACAATACTAAGGATTTGCTGCGCAATGCTGAAAAACTAAAACTAATTCCATCCACATTATTTCCCATTGTCGCATACCTAAATGGAAATAAAAACATATTAAATTTGATAACCCACTCATTGTTTAGGTTTCATGTAGCGTAGCTCAGCAATGCAATGACTGTCCTTCCTGATCTCCTAAATGTGATATATTATCTCTAAATTATGAGAACAGAAGCTCTTAATTATGAGAAAAGCTGTCCGATTAATTTTTCTTTGGTGAATGCAATACGCTTCTGTACTTTACCTCATAAGGTTTGTGTTTTAAAAGTAGAAGTAATTGAAAACCTTTCTTTGAAAGTTAATGTTTTCTTTTTTGTTGTGTTTTTTGTGCTCAGCCCTCAACAAGAGGTGCAGAAAATCTTCAAAGCCAAAAACCAGATGGACACAGACGTTGCCAAAGCCAAGGTAAACAGGGAGACATTCAGTGTTAAATACTGCTGTTAAGATTAAACCCAAAAAAAAGAGGAAATGAGCACAAAACAGTCCAGTGTCTAGTTGTAGCACAGAGTGGTTTTATGGATACGGCAGAGCAAACATTTCACTTCTATCATTAATTTGCTCTACATCTATGTGTAAATCTATGTAAATGTTTTCATTTTTAAATTGAAAGTAATGTTCAATCATTTGATTCATCATTTTAAATATCCTAACTGGACATTTAAATATCAAATGGTGCATTTTCAATTTATTTATATCATTAATATTTTAATTATATAATAAATAAACTTGCATCTACTTATTTTAAGGTACATTTATTTGTTTTATAGGACATTTATATTAATGTATTTATTACAATTCTGCTCTTTCATGGATAAGATTACAAGGATGGTAAAAACCACCTGGCAACCCCCACTTTTATTTTATATGTAAAATATAAATAATAAAGTAATAGGTGATGAAGGAAAAGAAATCCTTAATTATGTTACTGATCATAATAAAACATACACTGGAAAAACAATCTGGAAATAAGTACAAATTTCTTAAATCAATTGTATTTACCCTTAATTTTTGTAAGTAAATGAGATGTTTGCAAATTGAAATGTATTTTTACTCTTAAAATAAGATAATTGGATAAAATGTGCTTGTAATAAGACAATGCAATAGTTTTTTTTTTCATTTTAAATGTAAATTGTCTTGTTCCTTTGGCAAAGTGTCTCACTTACCTCCTCCATTCAAGACAAAATGCACTTATTTTAAGAAAAAATTACTTATTTAGAGTTCAATGTTTTGCAGTGTAGCTGTACTAAAGAAGAGTGGAATAAATCATCATAATAAAGTAATAAATGTGCATCTCCTTTAAAACCCATTGAATCTTCAGGGTATATACACTTAATTTAAGATTTTTATTTTACTATTTCTAGATAATTTTTCCAGTGTGGGTAATTGGAAGCAAAAAGCAATCTCAGCCTAAATGAATCAGCAGCAGCTACTGGGGACAGGATCTTTCTGATGAAGGTTTCTCTTCCTTCTCTTTCCTCCCTTCAGCTGTTGGGCTTCGGCGTGGCTCTGCTGGATGGCGTGGATCCCAATCCTGCTAACTTCGTCGGGGCTGGAATCATCCACACTAAGACCACTCAGGTGGGCTGCCTGCTCAGGCTGGAGCCCAACACACAAGCACAGGTAAAACTCTCTCCTCCCGCCACAGAGATCAATGTTTGAAACAAGGACACAGAGCTGGAGTGGAAGTCCCATATATTTATGTTTTTTAATTGAAAATGGAATGAGTATTTTTAGTCTTAAAATAAGATAATTAGATAACATGCACTTGAAATAAGACAATGCAATCTGTTTTCTAATTTTAAATGTAAATTGTCTTCTTTAAAAAAAAAAACTTTTTGCAGTGTGAGCATTTCGGATGATGTCACACTAGAAAAACAATCTAGAAATAATGTACAAATTTTGCAAATGAAGTGTATTTACCCTTAATTTGAGTAGATAAATGAAATGCTCTGCCAATGAAATTAACAGTTTTCCTCTTGAAATAAGATAATTAGATCAAATGCACTTAAAATACAATTATGTTTTCCTATTTTAAGTGTAAATTGTCTTGTTCCATTGGCAAAATGTCTCTTTACCTCCTTAATCCAAGAACAAATGAACTTATTTTAAGAAAAAATGACTTATCTAGATTTAGATTTCTTTCCAGTGCAGTTTAATAAAGTAAATGCAAAAGGCATCAAAAAAATAAGAAAAAGTCATAAAACATTTTTTAAAGGTGTGTAAAAGCGTTGTTTAGTGATTTATGAATAGAAATAAGTAATTTTAGTTCCATAATTAAATTATTTATGGAAACCCGGATGTATATCAGGATGCTGATGGTACGATGGATCGTGCTTCCGGGGCGGATCAGCTAGTGACACGAGGCGCTCTGCCTCTGTAATATTCATCCGTTTGTTTTTAAGCTGTTCCCTTTAGTCGCTCTGTCTGATAAAATCCAACTGAAATGCATGGATCAGACGTCTGTCTCCATCAGAGATGCTGTAACTGGTCTCTCCGTGTGTTTCTTTTCCAGATGTACCGCCTCACCCTGCGGACCAGTAAGGAGTCTGTATCTCAGCGGCTGTGTGAGCTGCTCTCAGAACAGTTTTAGACCCACATGGATTCTTTTACACTTTTCTTACTTCACATCAGAAATGTCATATTGTACAGTGAACGTGTTGTTTTACTTGCTTCTTATCTGAACTGATTAGTATTTTTTTTTATTTTTTTGCACAAAGCTCCATTGAAGCCTGACTGCTTTAAAGCTTCCAGTGTTTGTGTCCCACTGAGCCTCATCTTGCTGCTGCTTGGTGATGAGGAGGAGTTTCTGCTTCTGGAGATCCTCCATCTTTGTTCTGTGGCGTTAAACTCGGCTGTTACACGATCGCTCTGCACTCGGTGCCTTAAAGGAACGGATCACATCAGAAGCCAGAACAGTTCAACATGTTTTAAAACAGGAGGAACGTTTGTTCAGAGAAAATCCTCAGTTTTGTTTCCTGTTTGGGAATCTTTGGTGACCCAGAATATTTTCTAATTATTAAACTAAGACTCAGATGTTTGTAAAACGGCTTGAGATCAAACAAGATGGAGGCCTGTTTCTCTATGGGATCAATAATTATTTAAAAAATTCAGACTTTTTGAAGATGGGTTCTATTGGGAAGTTTTGAGCAGTCAGTATTTTGCCTGCAGGTTTCCGTAGTATTGACCAGAGGCAGGAAGTCCGCCGCCTTAACGGCTCCACTGAACCCCGACTGGTTCATCCACAAAGGCCGCCTGCACCCAGAGCTGATGGGAAAACACTAACAAAGAAAGGCTGCGTATTTATGCTATTGATGCATCGATTTCTGGCCGGTCTGAGCTTTAAAAAGCCTGATGGACCGGTTCGATATTGAACAATACAGGTTGGATACAATATTCCAATCTAATCTCACTGATCAACATCAGTACCTGTGGAGCAATCAAAACTTCTCTAATATCAACCAAAGTTTAGAGCAATGACAGGAGGATTTTCAGACTTGTCGAAATATCGATCTAATAAAGTTCAGGAAATCGAGGCTGATCGGCCGATTCAATCGGTGCTCTGATAATTTATATTTTTAGTTCTGTCTCCTGCTTCCAGCTGCTTGTTTCTGATCCCAAAGCTACCGAATCGCTGCCTTTTGCTTCTGAGAAAATGATACTAGCAAACATCTGGGAATATTTTTAGGTGATAAAAGTTAAAACAGATTAAAGCTCAGCTGCCTCACAGATCGGTACCGGACATGTAGGAATGTCTGACTTCCAGACGTCGTCTCTGCTCGCCGAGCTTTAATACCGACGTTATAAATGTGAACTTTGAGTGGTTTGATTGCTTTAGCCTGACTGAGCAGCATGCTGGTTGGTCGGAGCTCAAACTTCTGAACGGAGCCGATTCTGGGAGAAGAACCACTGATGAGGTGATGGTCATGGAAAGGTCTGGAAGTACGGACAGAAACCTGGACCGTCTGACTGAATCTGACATTAAATGAATCACTTTGAAAAGGAATTTCATTCAAAGGAGTCTGAATTTTCTGGATTTATAATTCATTTTTTAGACTATTTCATTTTAAAAACTACATTTAACTAAAAAAAAAAATCATTAGAAAACAGGTTTTAGTCAAATTCAGTTTCTGACGGTGCTGATTTCTGATCGTACTGTAAAAATGAACAACCGATCCATGTGAACCATTTATTTGTTTAAGCCAGTAATAAAAACAGAAACAAAAGATGAAATAAATAAACCTGGGAACTGATTAAGATTTAAAGGGAAAAATAATAAAATAGTTTTCAATCGTTTTCAGGATGACAAACATTTGCTCAAAGCCTAACGAGCTGAAAGGATCCTGTTAAGGAGTGAAAGTCATCAGAGGCGTTTTGTTCTTCCTTCATTAAAGGTGCCTTACTCCTCGCTTTATGTGCCTGAAAATAAAGGAAACAAATGTGCTGGAAATGAGACAGGAGCTGATGGTTGGATATGATGTCACTCTGAGGTTTTTTCAAAATAAAGTTTTGAAGAAAAAACTAAATAACTCCAAACGTGTTGAGTTTTACTGCCATCTAGTGGATGAAGGCTGGAGTGACAGGCTGCCTCCATCTGTGGATTAGACAGACTCATAGATTTAAGAAATAATGTTTTTATTCAGATTTCAGAGAGAAAATAAAGCATTTTTCTGTTTTTTCAGAATGAATAAGACTTCCTAATCACTGAGCAGCTTTAAGCACGTTTACTCTGTTTATTAGCAGGTTCTATTTATTCACTGGACTGCTGATTGCCCGTTGGTAATACGGGTTGGATTGAATCCACTGGCCGCCACATTGGTAGTCCCTATTAGACCGGTCACAACATAAACAATATGTGCTCTATAACATCTAACAACAATGATGTTCTCATTTTCAGGGGGACTTAAGACTTTTAAAGAAAGATAAATTCATCACTTGGATTACCGTAGCTTATGATAAAAATAAAATAAAATAGGCACATCTCATTGCATAGTCATTATGAAGTATATAAATCATGTAATATAACATATTATAAAAATCCATCACAACAAAATGAATGTGTTAATGGAGCATAGTAATACAGAAGTGCCAAAAGTGCTAAATTGATGATGTACCTGTAATAGACATGTAATGATGACATTGTGGTAATTACATTTTGTATCAGCATGTGTGGGTTCTCTCCAGGTACTCCGGCTTCCTCCCACAGTCCAAAAACATGACTGTTAGGTTAATTGGCTTCTCTAAATCCTCTTTAGGTGTGAGTGTGTGTGTGAATAGTTGTTTGTCCTGTTTGTCTCTGTGTTGCCCTGTGATGGACTGGAGACCTGTCCAGGTTGGACCCCGCCTCTCACCCATTGACTGCTGGAGATGGGCACCAGCACCCCTCCTGACCCTAACTGGGATAAGCGTGACAGAAAATGGATGGATGGATGAAAAATGGGAATTCCTCCTCTAATGAACAGAGAGACATTTCCTGTCTGCGTCTGCAACCTGGTCTGGATGAACGGGGAAACTTTTCCAAAGGATTTTCATGGATGAACTGATGAAGCA